GAGGCCTCAGTGGAAACTCTGCGATGTCCTGCTCTAGTCAAATAAAATGTGAATACGCAGGCCAGTTATGTGAACTTGGGACATTCACATACGTCAAAACGCGCCTTGCTGGAGTCTTAAGGTGCGCGAATCCGACGCCCTGCCAGACGGACAAGATTGTAGCAGCCGTTCCAGTCGCCCTTTTCTCCGGCTCCGTTTTGTCGGTCGATGGCCGCGACAAGCGTTGACAGGCCGTTGACGCACAACCACCCACACCGGCTAGAATTGGGGCCCCTCCTGTCCAGCTGCAGTGACTCCCGGCTGCCCTCACAAACTAGCATCACCTAACGCGCGTCGAACGCTCTGGCTTGATACCCGTGAGGCCTTGTGAGTATGCGCCCTCCATTCCTCCCCTAATTTGTCCAATCACACGACCAACAGTCAGCCAGTCACCCCCTCCTGCTGACCCAGACACTCACCCCCGCGTAAACTACACACCGCGACTGACGCTCTCCGTGAACGGACGCTTATCTCTGTTGCAAGCTAACAGCCAACTTACGGCAACCTGCCCTGTGTATAGAATAAACTAGTCCCCACAGCTCCCTGACTGCTGACATTAGACGAAACAAACTTATTGTGAGTGTTTTAAGTTGATCTCACATCCTTGACCGCCATAAGATTTTAAAGACAAATCGGATATGCCTCTGGGCTTTAATTGGGATACTTTCCTGAACGACGACTCAAAATCACACTTACGTCGCCCCGCTGTGGACTCGAAAACTGATCCCTGTTCATCTTTTGCATAGATGTAGAAAAAGGTTAAACTAACGTTCGGACTACACCATGATTGATTTCCCCTTCAGTGAAGATCTCCCATCCTCCCCCCCCCTCCTCGCCCTTTCAAGCGTGATGACTTTTAAATTCCCAGACCAAATTCTTAGTTTGATATTCGACTACTGAGAGAAATACGACTCGCAAGTATCATTCTCAAGGGAGGGACCATGCCTTCTGGGTTTCGTGCGATTTACCGCTCCTGACGCGTAGATTGGCATTGACGGTTATAGGTCAGAGCCCCGGGCTAATAGATAGATAGATAATTTTTATTAAAGACCCGTCGGGGTCCCATCAAAGCAAGTTAAAATAAATTTGCATGCGAGTTTTAGACGAGGTAGGCCGAATCTTTACAAAATGCAATTCCTAGTTTCTAAATTAGAAGTCCATTGAGAAACATGATGATTGAGGGGTGAAAAAAACTCCTTACAAAAAGTTAAAAATGATTGGATTAATTTTACAGGAGAAAAAAAAAACCCTCCATAAAAATAATGACAGAAAAAAGCGAGCAGGACTGGCCTGTAGGTGGCTGTATATAACGGAATGTTGTCGGTCATCGTCAGGGTAGCAATAAATGTCAGCCTTGATGGGCACGAATGTGGGTCAGACAGGACTGGTTTGCAAATGGCATTGTATACGGGATTCACAATTGAGATCGTCTGGGCCTGATTGGTACGCCGCATCAAAGAGGCCAGACGAGAGGAACCGAGATGCGATCGGCCACAGCACGCTTCGAGCTCAGCCGAGCAGTGAGGAAGGG